TAGGACCTTCTAAATACCTAAATTTGGTCGGGACATGGGCGTACGATGTAAATAGCGTGCGTGGTGGTTTCATATCCCCTGTGGATCCAAAATTCCAAATTACGGTCATTTCGATTTAAAATATCCTAAAATACCTAATATAGGCCGAGCCCTATCTGAAAAAATATAAAACTACCGCTACATAGATTGATAAATGCGGAACTCGGTTTGGTAAATGGATAAATTCTGTCGGAAATGTTATATGAAACTCTGCTGATTATTTTTATGTGGAAATGTCTTTTCTTTCCGAAAATCCGAACTGACAACCACGTCAATCAGAAAACAAATCTATAAATTTTAATTATATTAAACTGTATGCAAATAATTGAACTTATATTGAGACATCCCAATATCATAGTAAGGTTTGTCGGGCATGACTGACAAAATGACAAATTTTATATTCATATCATCTTATGATGAAAATTATAATGTTTTTGTCAAACAGCAACATCTATTCACACACTTTATCTATGTGCATTTTTAATTAAACTAATTAAATTTTATAAAATCTTGCACATAAATAAACCGAAGTGTTAAACACACCTTGACAATCCACCAAAACGAAATCCGATAAAAGATATAGAGTTTTCAAAGGTCATAGATGAAGTGTAAAAAATAAGTAGCATCAAATTGGTAAATAACTAACTTCAAGTTTAACAAAAAAAAATATATTACAAAAGAGGGCTGGGACTAAGGGACCACCATCAGATCATGTAATCGGTACGAAATGCATCAACGTACCCAATAAATCACAACCACCATTCGACCAAACATACTATGTACATACCGACATATAAATGTATGAATGAACATACGTATATCAAGCGAACTATGAAAGTTATGTCATATCCCAACCAACCATTCAATCCAAATATTTTTTTCAATTCCTTCTCCAGAAAAAATAAAAAACCTCAACGAGACAGAGAACCCATACGACCATTATTCAAAACTTTTTTTTTGAGATGGACGATGTTGATGACGACAATGATAGCGCTGATATTTACTTTGGATCAGATATGGAAGATTGGAGCAACAGAAATGCACTTGAATGTTAAAATAAGCGTAACGAAGCGCAAGTGTATGTACGAATGTATGTGAAAAAAAAACATCAACCAAATAAAATTTACAAACCACTGCTATGAATGAACCATAAACAAAAGTACTGAATAATAAAACAATATAAAAAATGGTATTACATCTTTGCAGACAGACCCATTTGTTATTTGCTAAACCTAAAAGGGAAATAAACATTTATTTGCGTAGATGAACAGACGTTTCCGTAGGGTTGGTCAAGATATGCGGATATGATCATTTAATTTTTGTTGATGAAAATTTCAAATTGTGGGTACATGCAGATATATATCAATCAATCTGTAATATAATTGTAGATTATTATTTGGGAATTTACAGTGGCTCAAAAATGGGATAATATATAAAAACCAGTAAAAAAGATGTTATGTTTGGAACGGCCGAACATTTTATAGCATCTACCATGAGGATGACAATCAAAATATCTAAAATTAAGGGGGGGGGATCCTAGGAGAAAACTCATGTTATGATAGGACCTTAAACATAACGACAAATACACGAGAAAAAGGTGATTGGAATTCTCAAAATATCTAATAATTGGCTACACCAAGACGGGAATCCATATTGATCATTTTTTTTAGTGAAATTTAACCAAAATACCGAATTACTGCCACTTTGGTTGCAAAACGTGTCAAAAATTCCCAAACTACCGACATAGGTTAGTATTAATAATTTTTAGTGCAGAAATGTGGTGATACCGTTGTTAGAACCCAATATACCAATTTCGAGCCAATTTGTTCGAAGAAAAATCACATATTGGGGGTACTTTATTATGGGGACTGCCCTTCCTTAAACGTGGGTCAATATTAAACATTTTTAGTGTGGAAATGTGCTATATGAAATGTGCAATGAGAACCCAATACAACCAAAATTACAAGTTGGTTGGAAAACGTGTCCAAAATCCCAAAAAAAATAATTTTTGGTATGGAAATGTGCTATTCAATGTTAACACAAAATGCCAAATTACAGTCAATTCGGTTGGAAAACGTATCCGAAATCCCCGAAATACCGAATATTGGATATAACGTTATATGGGATCTACACTGTGATTGACATTTGCAACACCAAACATCCTAGGAGTACTAAAATGTCTGTGCGATCTCAACCGTGACTTCAACAGGGTAAATCTACACAGAATTTTATTCTGATCAAGGATTATAGATGGCTGATCGAGCTTGAGGTCAGCATTTGTGTTTATATATTATTTTCCGATATTTCGAAATGCATTGAATTTCATCTTTTAATGACTATAAATGCCGAGAGTGCAGAAATAAATGTCGCGTGAGAAATCAAAAATGTCGAGTGACCGAGAAAAGTCCTTCGCAAATAAAGGATATGCCAAATTTTGAAAGTGCGATAATAATGCTTGATATCTCTTATGCATGTAAAGAATATAAAAAGTTCAAAGTATTATATTATAAATATTATAAAACTGGAGGCTCTTAATTTTTTGTACCACTGATAGTACTCCTAAAGTTATATAAAAAAGTATTATGAGAGAATTGTAAAAAAATGTAATTGTTTTCGATTTATTTAAGATTTAAAATTTGATGTTGCCTCTGAAAGTCGTGTAAGTGACTGCGAAAGTGCCCATATATAAAATCAACATCAACATAATCATAAACATAATTACTGATCAGGAATATTTATACCTCGTGGGGTTTCCTGTGAATATTTCATGGTGTTGCAAACGGAATGGCAAATTTAATAATAGAAACATCGTACCCGACATTCGTAAAAACTCTGTTTTGAGAAAAAAAACGAGTTTAAAGTTTGGAAAGCTCTGGGAAAGCTTTGGGAAAACCCGGTACCTGCATTTGGCGTCCTCAAAAAGTCGCTGGGGTCTACCAACCAGTAAAACAGTGGTACAGGCACATCCTCCTGTGGAGATGGAGAAGGGAACCTGGTGACAGATACAGACAGCGTGTTAAGGATCTGGAAGGAGCATTTTGAAAAGCTTCTGGTATCAAATAGTGACGATGAAGATGATACCCCAAAACCAATAAGAGATGACGGTATGTAGATGTAGCCAAGATGAGGTCAATTAATCGGTAGAAGAACAATAAAGCAGCATGTACCGATGGATTACCAGCCGAACTATTTAAGACCGGTGGTCAGATGCTTGTCAGGAGCATGCGCCAGCTCATTAGTACTATTTGGCTAGAGGGATGCATCCCCAATAGTTGGAATCGCAGCATCCATTGTACCGTGCACAGAAAATGAGACAAGACGATATCTGCCAACTATAGAGAAATAAGTCTCCTTTCCATCGCATATAAAGTGCTATCCAGCGAACTGTGTGAACGACTGAAGCCAATTATTGGCCCATACGAATGCCGTTTTTGAGCCCTGCAAATCCACCATAGATCCAATTTTTCCTTCCCAAATCCTGGAGAAGGCCCACGACTATAAAGCCGCACTCGACAGCCCTATCCGTTCAGAGGTGTTTAAAGTCATGTCTGTGTTCAATATTCCTGCAAAATTAATACGGCTATGCAGGATAACTGGCACAAAGACAGCAGTTTAAGTTTGAAAGGACCTCTCGGAGCCCTTCAATACCGAACGAGGGTTCAGACAAGGTGACTGCCACTCGTGTGACCTTTTTAACATCCAGCTGGATAAGGTCATACGAGAGGTAAAGGTGAGCACAAATGGTACTCTGGACACTAAACCACACATATTACTCGCCTACGTCGATGACATCGATATAATGGGCGAGTAACATTGAAAAAATTGAGAAGAAGTCTGTCAAAGTGGGTCTGGCAATAAATGGTGAAAAGACCAAGCTGATGGTATCAACGCGCCAGAAATTACCGCTTCGAGGTAGTCAAAGATTTTATATACCTCGGTACCGCCATAAATAAATAAAACTAGTTGGCCAAAAGATGCTTCTATGGTCTAAATAAGCATTTTAGAAGCAAGGCCACCTCTCGGTAGACCAAACTCATAATGTACAAGACCCTGATGATTCTAAGGAATTGTACTATCTGACATTATAATTGATATATTCAAGCAAAAATATAAAAATTAAAAAAAAGAAAAACAGTGAACGGAGCGGCATAGTACACAACCATCACCAAAATATAATTTTTTGCATATCTATATTCCAAATTTGGACCATATCTTGCGATATTTGCATCCACATCGCCCACCCCATCTTAGTTATTTTTTATGGTTGTAGCCGATATTTTAATATGTAGGCAAATCGGATATTCACTAGATTGAATACTTATTATCAGAACAATTCTAATATAGGACTATGTTTTGTCATAGACACCAAATAAGGCCCGACCAAGTTTATATATTTTAAAGACCCATCTCGTATTGGAGGGCATAAAAGGTTCGACCAAGTAATTTGAGACCCGTGATTTTAAACTTGTTTAATAGTCCGCATTTAGCCAGTTTCGAAAGAAAGCTAAATGCTTTAGATACATCGGAGTACAATCCCATTTTAAACCCATTTTTAAGTCATATATCTTTTGTTGGAATCAATGTACGTCGACAATAATATTCCCAATAATGACCACTGTCACAAAATTTACCTACCACGATGTAATGTTGATGTACCTCTCATTCATGCATTTAATCATACGAAATATATGTAACACTTAATATTTATTAGTACTACTACCATGAGACAATTGACAAATTGAAATCAAAATTAAATATTGAAAGTCAAAAGCATGAAATTTGTAGAAATACGCCCACACGCAAAAGACTATCGGGGCGAATCCAATCAAGCATATTTGCTATAAAGGTCTGAGGAAATACAACAAAGAAAATAGTCTTGGGTGGAAAATTCAATCGAACAGTAGACGGTAGGAAATCCTATGAAAATTCGCGATTAAAAATAAAAAAAGAAAAAAATTACAATGCGTAAACCGTGTATAGCTCTGTCGTTCGCCACCCTTCTATTATGTGCCGATATAATAAAATGTGCGCCGGCCCAGAAATCCTTACAATCTAAATTAAATCCTTATTATCTCAAGGCAATGGCGGCATATAAAAAACTTGAATCGAAATTACCACGCGAAGAATTGAGAGCGATAACAACAATCGGTATTTTGAACGGAGCCAAAGAAGCTGAACAACAAATGGAACGCCATTTAATTGAAGAGGTCAAGGACCTCCTACTCAACACGAATGTTAATAATCGTGAAACGGTGTTACCTAAAATTGAAAAAATCGAAGAACAGTTAAATCGGGATCAAAAAGCTTTGGAAATCCTTACCAAATCTATGGACTTGGCAATGAAAACCAAAGATGTGAAAACATTTCACAAAGAGATACAAGAAATTGCTGCAAGTCTAAAGGAAAAGACGGGTGATGGGACAACGGGAAGTGATGAAAATAATGTTGGGAAAAAAGTATCGCATTTAAGGAAGCATATCCTGCAACAAATGAATCTTATGAAACACGTAGTGGATGATAAAATCGATGACACCTTGGATTATTTAATTGAACATGCCGATAATGATGGTGTCCTTGCCAAGGCTAGTACGAAAGTTGTTCGCAAACGTCAAACGGATCAGGAAGAAGAGGCGGAAATAAGGCAAATTAAATCGATTTTAACAGAGGTAAGAAATTTATTATGGAATTGTAGTAAAATAATGGCATTGCAATCAGTAGAATATTGAAAAAAAAAATAATTTGTTCTATTTCTTATTGAAAACGAAATTTTATTTTTTTAATATATTTTATTTATTTTAATATACTCTCTATATATATATATATATATATATATTCCTTGGTATCAGATTAATGGTCAACAATACCTATTTCATAAACTTGTAAAATTTATGGCTCACATCTTCCCAGAGGGAACACATACGCCGTAATAAGAAACATTGTCCTTTTCGCCTTGGTCCATTTGACCCGCTAATTTGACCGATAATCATTAAAACAGCATACTTATTATTTGAAGATATCCTCTTTCGCTAAAATTGTAGCCTCTACAGTGATCGTAAAAAAACAAATAAAACTAAAGGTTTTTGTCCATTGGATCATCTAAATATCAGTCGATCATTAACAAAAACTATAGGACAAACTTGGCCAAAACCTTCAGTGACAAATTTTATTCGACACATGACTGGATCGATTCAGATAGTCAAATTAATCTAACCATGTGGGTCTAGCTGTGTAGGGTACAACAAGTGAAAACGGGAACGTTTAAAAAAACAAAAATGATGCAATGTGTAAAATATCAAAACCCTCTAAATCCCGCAATGACAAAAAACGACCTTCAAAAGAGCAATATTATCTGCATATAGCAGAATGGGATCAAAACATATTTGCAGGTTTTGATCCTATTCTGATATATGCTTTAAAATACCAACTATTGGTCGGGATCTGTATAAGAGAGCTATGTCAAAACACATTCTGACAAAAGTATGTTTAAGCCTCCAATCAGCCGGAATGATAATTAAGCCAGTTGGAAGGGAAAATGAGTGCAATACATACAAAATACCGACTAGGGGTGGAAACTTTATTTAGGGGGTTATATCAGAATATTGACATATTAGGTTGGCGAAAAAGAAATCCGGTCGTCGAAAATGTCGATAAAATCGGAGAAATGATCGAAGTTGACCGGCAGTCGTAACATCGCCCAGGAGCTAAAAATTATCCATAAAACTGTGCTAATTCGTGGTACCACACGAATTAACTAAAAAAATAGGAAGGATCGAATTTCCATCTGCGAAGACTTGGTCAAAAGGTATGAGATAGACCCGTTCCTTGAACGGATGGTGGGAGATGAGAAATGGATTAAATACGATAAACCTGTACGAAAACGATCGTGATAAAAGAGCGGTGAAGCACCCCAAACGGTGGCCAAATCAAGACTAACGGCCGAGAAGGCTCTGCTATGAATTTGGTGGGACTGGAAGGGGATTATTTATTATGAGTTGCTTCCATTGACCAAACGCTAAATTCTGATCTCTACTGTCAACATCTGGACAGTTCGAAGATAACAATTGACCAGAAACGGCCAGAATTGTCCAACAGGAGAGGTGTCGTGTTCCACCAGGACAGCCCTAGGCCACACACATCTACAGTGACTCGCACAAAACTTCGGGTCCGGACTTGGCACAAAGCGATTATCATATTTTTCTTGCATTGCAAAATTTGTTTAACGATAAAAAAATTGGTATCTAGGGAGGATTGCGAAAATCGATACGGTGCATAATTGTCCAACAGGTGAGGTGTCGTGTTCCACCAGGACAGCCCTAGGCCACACACATCTACAGTGACTCGCACGAAACTTCGGGTCCGGACTTGGCACAAAGCGATTATCATATTTTTCTTGCATTGCAAAATTTGTTTAACGATAAAAAAAATTGGTATCTAGGGAGGATTGCGAAAATCGAATACGGTGCATATTTGTAGACAAATTTCGATATAGACCTAAGGTCACTAATTACACATGTGAAATCAGATTTTGAAAATCGATTAAAATGAATCCAAAATGGCGGATCAAATATAAGAAAAATCTAAATATTTCATTTCTTGGCAGTATTTCAAACAGGAATAGCATGAAATCGTATTTTTATGTATTATGGTCCTTAAGCTATTGCGTACCTTAACTAAATTTGAATTATAGCCAATTTGTTGAAAAACGTGTTCAACGTCCTAAAACTATCAAATATAGGGGTTTCCTTTTATGTAGGACCTACCCCGAAACCTAAGTCAATATTGATAGTTTTTGGTACGAAGATGACAATTCACAAAACGCGCACATGGGGGCTATCCCAAATAGTGGAGCAAGGTTATTAATTTTTGCAAGAATATGTGACACAATGCGAACCCAAAATAATGGTTGAAGGTGAGGCTAATATCTTCCAATTTTATCATCGGCATGTTATCATAGTATTTCTTTATTATTTTTTAATTAAATTTAAATTAACTATATAATATGTTAATGGTCGCAAAATTTTAGACAAGGAACACATCAAGATGATGTAACCATTATAGTATCCTCAATGCTTAGCACTAGATTCTGAAACTTTTTGAAAAAAATCATTTTTACGAAATATATTCTTGAAATATATTCCATTTTTTCTCTGAAATAGACCTTTTGCAAAATAATAGATTGCTGACCAATAATGATTCAGTTAATACAGCTGAAGTTTTATATATAGTGAAGGATAACCAAATTTCGGATCAGTCGAACTTAAATCCGTAAGAAAATGTTCCGTCCTTCTCCTTATGTTATATATTTAAAAATATATTTAGATTTGTTTCTAAAAATATTTTCTTCCCTAGACGAGTTACATATTCTTAATCAAAGACTCATATTCCAGTTTCGACCCCGTAGACATATGAAGATTTATATATCCTTCATGATACCACAAGGTCTTCCTTAATCAACAATCGATCGTAGAGGCAATTTGTTCTCAATGGATGCCCAATAAGGCTTCATCGTCTACTTATATGTCGTCTTCACATTACCTTTCATCTCTATAAATTTCTTTGCCCACCAGCCTTCCTTAGATTACAAATTAAAACACAAGCTAACAAAAGACTTAAGGCACGAAATTTATGTTATTTTGAATTTCAGGATGATTTCCGCAATAACCTCGTATTAAATGAAGATGGTGACAAAAACAAAAAGAAAAAAGACAATGATGATATTAGCTCCAGTGAAGAGGACAATTTACTGATGGCATCCAATGTAAGTTATGTAATATTAACTAAAAACAGTAGACAAAACATCATTGAAAGGTTGGGGTATACTAATTTTATTCGGTTACCTAGCCGCCAGTGTTCATTTGTAAATTTGTGTAAATATGTTTGTTTGAATTGATTTTGAATTTACCACCACAAAATAACGAAAAAAATCCTAAATTGTAATGTAATTTCTTGTCTAAGAAAGAATGTTATTGAAACTAACAGAAAAGCCACAGCGAAAGTTATGGCCTCGAATGGTAATGCCACAGAGACGCTGTCGCTGTCTGATGTAAACGGGAGCCCTGACAATATGACAACGCTTGCCAAACAGGAAGAAGGTTCACCCGAATTGTTAGATAATAACGGAGATAATGGAGGCGGAGGCGGCGGTGGTGGCTTAGTGGGCATCATAACCAGTTTGAGTGGAGTAAGTATTGGCAGCCTATTTGATACGAAAATGCAATGACTTTGCAATAAAATGAAATTTACATTGACATACATTGTAGGGCGAAGGAGGCTCTGACATAGGTGCACTAATAGGAGCATTGACGGGAGTCATTTCTCAATTGTTTGGAGTAAGTGTTTGGTGCTCTCTTGTGGTTTCAGATTTTGTTTTTTGTTGTCATGTCATTTTTCCTTACAGCCTGGTGGTTTGGATATTGAAAGTTTATTGAGTTCGGCAACTTCCTTAATTTCTGGTTTATTGGCGGTAAGTGGCCGGGACTTATATTATTTTATTATATTGTAGTGTAGTAAAAAATATATAAAATTTAAAATGTTTAATTGTTTCTTAAACTTAGGGCAACAAAAACTTTGGCACTGTCTTAGGCATATATGTGGGAACTGTCTTTGATGGCCTCTCTGGGGGAGGAGGTGCTGTAAGTATTTTAGGACAACTTTTTTTTTATTCCAAAAATTAAATCTACTTTTTTAAATATTTTTTTTCAGATCAACAACGGACAATTCATTGGCAACTTTTTGGGAACTGTGGTCGCCTCTCTAAGTGCTGTACATATTGCTTCCATTTCTATTCAATCTTATGATACTACTAACCCTTTAGCAATAAACTAATACCCCACCTTTCAATTTCCATATTTTCCATTTTCTTTGCAAGGTTTTATAATATTTTATTAAATACAGAAATATATTTTAATTCCCATTTTATAGGACCCCGAAGAAGATGATGTTCCACCGCGACCACTGCTTTTCCTTCAAAACGTTGTCAGCAGCTTTTTAGAGGCTAAAAATCGTAAGTCTGAAGAGGAATCAGCCGAAAGGAAAGATGGTCACAAAAATGGTCATAGCGGTGAAAAGGGTGGCGGTTCCGATTCATCGGCATTTATAAAACACGTGGTGTCCCATGTAGTGGGCAGTGTTGTAAGTTTAATATTGAATGCATCACTTGGAGCATCAGGTGGAGCCTCTGGTGCCTCGCACAGCCTATTTGCTGGTAGTTCTGCAGGCCATACAAATCACAATGGTGGCAAATATTAGTTAGAGTGATTTTTTTCTTAGCTTGTAATTTATAATTAGATTTTTTGTAAAAGATTTTTTATATATGTGAATAAAAATTAAAAAAAATAAGATTTGTAAGATTATTTTTGATGGGATAAATGTCAATTTTGTTTAAGGGCGCTTATATATTATAAAGAAAAGTTTGATTTTGTAACGCCCCAAATTTTGGACCTATGCCTTTTAGTATTCTGATCTGGAATAGCTGAATCCATCTAGCTATGTGTGTCTACCGCCTGTTCATTATAATTGTAATCGAGAAAAAGGATGTTATGGACACATTTTGCATGTAGGTCCGGTTCTTACTAAAGACATATATAGTTTAGATCGATCACTTTTTAGTGGGTCAAATGGACCAAAAACTTTATTGTTGTATAACATTTTCAAACCACTCTAGAGGACAGATTTATGAATCCATCACCACGAGAAACCTAATCTGGTCAACCAATCGTTCAGAATTTAGTGGGAAAACATGATACCGAAAAGATCGCAATGTATCTGACATCAATTCTCTTGATATAAAACGACTGATATCAGAGATGGCCTGTCAGAAACAGTGACGTATATTACTCAAATCGATATAAAATTTTCTTCTCAAAAAATTTAGAAATTTTTATCAGTTCTAGTAAGGAATAGTCAGATATATGTAAAAATAATATATATTCTTGAAAATAAATGTACAGTGGTGGTCACGCAATTAAAACATTTATTGTGGTAAACATTATTTGATCAGCCCTCGATTCGTTTGAAGTATTTTTGAAAAATTTTTAATTCAGAACAAAATCTATTGAAAATGACAATATTTTTCCAAAATAATATTTTTAGTATAGAAGAACTTCCACTTAATCTATTTTAGCCTCAAAAATGCTGCTGTGTGCCATAAGGTTTTACTAGTCAACATAGGCGTTGATCTCTGTTCGTTTCGTTGTGACTGATATATTTTTTGATAAACTATGTTCTGTACTACTCGAACAATCGATTTGATATAATAAATGCCAATATCAATCGATATTTTCTCACATACTGCAAAAATATTCCGGCCCTTCAATAAAGGCTATCGAAGTTTAATCGTTCCTTTAAGTTAATTGCCATTTTTTGAGTTATAATTTCAAATATTTATTTATTTTGAGAATTATTTATTGTTTTCTACTCATTCTAGCAATTTTTGGTGCATTCGGACCTTTATTTTCTATAATAACGGTGATTTTCTGAATATTAGGTGTACTGTACAATTTTTTGGAAATTTTGATAGATTTTACAGATTTTTTTAAATTTTTTTCTGTAAATGATTTTATCGATGCTTAATTTGCATAACTTACATAAAATAAGAGTGATTTTTTAAAAATATTTTCAAAAAAAATGCAGTAAAGTAAAAAAATCACACAATGTTTTAATTATGAGGCCACTTCAAAGTCGATGTACTTTCATAAAAACCGTTATTTATGGAAAAATTGCATGAAATAATTTTCTATTTTCACATTAAATCTCTTAAGTGCAGTATATCGAAGTGTTCTGAATTAAAAAATTCTTCAATCGAATCGAGGGCTGATCAAAAAATGTTTACCACAATAAATGTTTTAATTGCGTGACCATCACTGTATATGCTGATAATATTGATATAAATGACGTTTACTACGTTTATTACATTTTATACAGGTATATGACGTTTTCGACGTTTACACCTTTTTGACAATCGAAAACCTAAAAATTCGTCACACGGACCATCCCTGACTGATATACCAAAATGTGAGATATACTAAAATGTGTAAATGGTTCTACATATTCCCATATGGTTTAATATTAGTATTACCACAAAAGAAATTGTAAATTGTACGCATAAAGTTTATGTTGTGTATGGTGGGCCATACAAGACTATGCTGTTTTGCATACATGTTTAATTTTTATAGAGACAAAAGTGTGCGGACTTTTTAGAAAAAAATTTTTAGGACCAAAAGGCAGAGATATTTAAAGATAATTATATTAAGGAACTACCAAATTCCGGCTACTTTGTTAGCGAATGTGAGAACTATTGAAACATGACAAAATAGTTTATTGTTTTTTTTTTTCAAAAACAACATATGTCAGAAGAGCTAATCAACATACACACCACTATCGACCATGTAGTACCATTTATTACCTTTGTTCTCTTATAGTACGTATTTCCACAACTACCTCCTACACTACACAGCAATTCGGACCACAAAAAAAATCTAGCTCTATACTAAATTTGATACCACTTATTACCTCTTGTTCTCATGTTTTACTTATTTCCAAAACTTTACCAAATGTAGTACACATTAATAAAACGTACCAATCTCAATCTTATTTCATCATTTCAGTACTATCGGTTCAGTCAAATCCAAATTGTATTGAATAAAGTTCCATTTAGTACTTCTCGTACACATAAGTATAAATATCCAAAACTATCTACGAATCCCATTCGTACACACCGACGGTAGATTCAGGATTCCAGCTACAACCGTTACTCCAAATTTAAACTGTACCAAATGTAGTACCGTTTAGTACTTTTCATATACAAGAGTACACACTTCCAAAGCCACCTCCTTATATCGAACCTACTTCTCAACCTTGATTCGCATTCGAAATTTCAAGTTTTTAGCTCTATATATTCACATGCTACGAAGTTGTAATAAATTTAGTACACTTTAGTACTTTTTAGATACTTATAGTTCGATGTATCCTTTGGTGCATCCTTGCTACACTCCATTAATGGCCCCCAGTTCACATTTAAGAGCTCTAGCTCAACCGGTTCGCCAAATACAAATGGTACTATATTTAGTACTTTCTGAGGTGTAAATGCAACCTACAAAAAATTATTAATATCGATCAACGTTTAGGAATAGCTCCCACATAATGGTACCGCCCAATTTTCGGCATTGAGAAGGTCATAATCGCATTTTCCCATTAAAGTAGCTGCATTCCGATTTCTTGGAGGTCTATATTTTGACTTAGGTCCCAAAGAAATGTATCACCCCACTTTCGATATTTTAAAGGTTTTAATCTCACATTTCCCCCAAAGTGGCTGTAAGGCATATTCTTGAAGGATGATACTCCATATAAAGGTTCGCCCTCATTTTTCGATATTTTGATAGTTTTCACCAAAATTCGCCATCAGTGTGGCTATAAATTAACATTTCGGGTTCTCGTGGGGTGAAAATAATTTATGCCAACGTTTTTCGATAAATATTCATGTTTTGACATATCCCCCATGAAAGACCCTCCTAATTTTCGATATGTCAAAGGATTTACCCACATTTCGCCACAGATATTACAGTAATTTTCGTGATTTTGAAGACTGGCATACCTCTATGCAAATCATGATCAATATGGGTCCATATTTTGTCATAGCCTATATAAATATCCAGCCCCACTTTGAGCATTTTTAAATGTTTAGGTGAATTTTCCAACCCAAATGGTTGTGATGTGGTATTACGAGTGGCTGGAATAGATCTGTGAAGAAAATTATCAATATCTTCCCGAAGTTGCTGTGTCAATCGTTTGTAGAAAATGTTGATTAACATAGTCCCCATAACCGTCCCAATTTCGGTATTTTGTAATTTAGCTTACCGGCTTTTTGGAAGTGAGAAACATATTTGCTCCATATTATGGCTAGGTTTGAAAATAATCTATCGAAATAGCTGTAATTTTGCATTTTGGGTTCATGGAGGGTGCGTAAAATTTTTGACGAAGATTTTTGATGTATGTTCGTGTTTTAACATAGACCCATTTAAAAAAGACCCGTCACTTTTTTCGATACTTCGAAGTTCCTAGCCCATTTTCCAACCGAAGTGTATTGTATATAATTTGGAATCTCATTTTCTAAAAAATAAACAAACTTGACAACGTCAGTGATTGAATTCCCACATAAAGGTCCCGAAGTATTTCAATGAATAGTTTGAAAACTTGTAAATTTCATATGGGTTGAACGGAATATTAAATTTCATCCAAACTCTGTCCTTTTGTCCAAAGCCCCCAGTAGCTAGAATTTTTTATAAAAATATTTTTTTCAACGGGTATCATACCACTAGACTCAGATTTTTAAACATTTAAATCAATTTAAACATGTTGTCCAAATAAGTTTGTACGATATTATTTTTATTGTAATTTTGTATTTTTTTATATTCTATTCTGCCATTTAAATGAGTCAGTCAAATATATCCGTCGATCAAATTATGACATGTTGTTGCTGCTGTTGAAACTTTTGTTGCTGATCGTTTGTTAATTTCTTAAAACAAAAGCTGCAAGTTTGGTGTTTAAATCTTGAAATCAAATATTAAGACACCGAGTATCCGCCAGAGTATTGCCATAGGCAGCCTCTAGGCTGCATTCGTGTCTCGTGTAATAAAACAAGAGATTAATATAATTAGAATATACTAAAAAAAGAGACAACAGGTTTTTATTTTCAACATAAACCTAACAAAGGCAGGGGTCTTTATGGATACACATTCAATCCTTTGAATATAATTAATAAAATATAGAATTTAAATTAACCCTGACTAAAAAATATTCAAAATTTGTTGCGGCTATAATCGTGGCTTTTGAAAAAATTATAGAATTTCAATAAAATCAGTTATTACACGTAGACTCGCTTAAGGGTTAAATATCATATTCTATTATTTTCCATAGTAAGACTTTATTTGTCCATTCTGTAACTTCAAATCAAAACAGAATACGAAAAAAATAATTATTATAAGTAAAATTCAAGATCCGGTATTTATTGTGTCAAATTATTAAAAACGAATAAAAGAAAAAATCAAAGAACCCCAAGCTAAAGACCTTGTTTGAAAACAATACAATTTTACATGACACATACAACCATATGGTAAACATATTCTAAACACTTCGGCTAAGTTTTACAAAAGTATCTATAAACATAGACAATTGTAAAATTTCAGCCTGTATTACTAATAATAAAAATTATGATTAATTCCAAAATAATTTTATTTGCAATTCATATTTTC